GCTTCTTTTATTTTTCATGAGATATAAATTGTGTAAAACATAAGATAGAAAATCTCTATAGAAATATGAAGAAAATTTGTGACACGGGAAACTTGGCAGCGTTGCTGATTCAGAAATAAACCTTTATAGATATTATACTTGATTGAATAAACAGCATTATACATATTTTGGTATATTATAAATTATTTTATTTAAATCGCCGTGAAATTAATCGATAAAATAAGATATCTCATTCGCAGAATACGTGTCTTCTAAATAAAACTAATCTTCTTTTTGTCTTTTCTAGGCGATGCCGGAGAAGCGGGAACAAATCGGCGAGGTAATACCAAAAATACGTAGCACGTCGCTGCCGCAAAAGCTGGCTACGCTAATCTCCACGAAAATATCCAACAATGACACGACCTCACCGCCACTCGAGGAAGTCCAGTCTCTTGTCGGCGGCGGAAACAGAGAAAACGCGAGTAGGGAATTGATGCTACCGAGCAATATGGCCATAGCGAAGATCATATCCAACGATTCCGACTCCGAGGAGAGCGAGGAGGAGGAGGATAGTGACGAGATGCCCGAAGCATTACCCGAGGTGAGTTAAAACGCGTGCAGATAAAAAAAATAATATTATCTTTATGTGATGCGCGCGCACGCAATGATCTATCGCTTCGACTTTTTCCCACTATCTGAAAACGGTAGAAAGTCGAGTTTGACGTGTCCACTTGTCGTAAATTTCAACGAGATTTATCCCATCGGTTAATAAATATGTATATTTTCCCCGGCAGTCGAGTTTCTCACGACGCGATGTCTGTAAATATCAGTTTTTATATACATGCAATCACTAATAAATTTGAGCTTTACAGCGATTTCTAAACTACCAAGTTCATGTCTAGATTGGTATCTGCCACATAAGTATGATTATATTGATCGTTGATTACTTTTATGCAGATTTTAGATCGATGCATCATTTATTTTTACTTCCGACTGCGAGATTGAATCGTAATTGAAAATCCTTACATTATTTGATTATTTTAACACATTTTAAATATATTAAATATATTAAAAATTATTTTTATATATTTTAAAAGTTCTATTATGCAAAATTTCGTATATTTTTTATAGATAGATTATTTACATAAATTTTATAAATCGATCTTATTATACGATATCAGCATACACATGTATATTGGAAATGATTAATTTTGTAAGTGTTTTTTCTCGTAACTTCGCCGCGTATTGAATTTACCTCCGGTTTGTGTCATATAGTACACTAAAAGGAACATAACATTCGTCGAATCTTCATTCAACATATGCTTAGATTGCGCCATTCTCGGATTTAGAACGGGCGCATCGTATGATTTCACTTGTATAGCGGCGGCCTTTAAGCAACGCCTTTTATGCAAGTACTTTCACGTGTTCGACATATTTTATTACGACGACTCGTCGGCGTCGCAAGGACCATCTCTTGAATCTCGTGAGTGGTGGTGTCGCGGTTACTATACCGTCAGATATATCGCGCGGAAGAACGACTTTCCATTCCGGACATTAATTAGCGAGCGACTTGGACGGATATAGGCGGATGTTGATTTATTCTGCGTGAGAATAGATAAGCGGCGACGGTATTACAATGAATGAGCTTCTCTATAGAGGGTGATCGGAATAAGATAAAAATCTGATTTTAAGTAGAAGCACTTCATTATTATTTCAATTGACAATACATTCGTTTATTTCAGTAGAATATTCTGTATTAGGTATATTTAATTGTCACATTAATAAATCTAATGCAATTTCAATCTGTGGCGCTTTTATACGCATGACACATAAAGAGCGCACTCGCCACTCGGTGTAAACAATATTCCTCTTAAGTATACTTAAGTAAACGATCATTAAGGTCAGTGCACACGGACAATACCTATAGGCGTTTATAATTACAAAGAATATACCGCAAATTTAATGTTCGCACGCCAAGGTGCAATTTTGAATTTATCGTACCTTGTTAAAATTAATAAGTGACAAATTAGGTAATGTTTATTACATGTATATTGTTATTAATTAGTTAAAAAGGGGAGATGGAGATGGATCTTTGAAAAGATCTTTTAAATCTGATATAACGTGATAATATGATAATAAGAACTCTCATAAACAAGTTGTCCGAATTACAGGCTCAAGAGCTGCGGCTAGTGAGACCTCAAGAGCGACGGCGACCCGTGTTCGTCAAACCGTTGCGACCCGTGAGACCGTCTTTTCCGAACAGGCGGAACGTTTACACAGGTCAGTTTTTCTAACGGTAATCGACAATCGTGAATTTATCGCGCCGGATAAAAGTGGCACGGGCCGAGACAGATCGTTGATGATTTCCGCAGGTTTACCGAGGCCGCCCGTCATGCGGCCGTCTAAACGGCCGAGCGAGCCGAAGAGGAGACCCACGGAAAACGAATGCACTTTCTTCACAAAGACGGTGTGTCTCGAGGCCAGCGATTATCCGCAGTGAGTCTGCCCTGAACTTTCGTTTCGGCATTGAATTAATGACGAATATTGTTACGCGGCAATTTGCATACGGCCGAGATTAAAATCTCCCGGTCCGTCTTAATTGGCATGCCGGCGGTTTTCACTTTCCGCATCTCTCCCCTCTTCACGAGAGTATTATTAAAATAACGGTGATCGAATTGTAAAGATAAATAAAGCATTGACCGTGTACGACAACACTTAATTGGTAGAGTACAGTCAAAGTGTATTATTACAGAATTCTGAAGATTGTTTTTCAAATTTGTTAAATTACCTCTTTGCAAATTATTTATTTGCATTAACTGACTTATTACAGAGCTATTGTATTGAGCAATTGCAATATCAATTTGTTAGCATTTCTTGTTAAATTTCTCTAAAATTTTCATTACTTGAGTTTACATTATTCTTAGTCTTTCGAATAAGTAGCGAAATGCATAAAAGAAATTTTCCACGTTGGAGAAAATATCGGTATTATTCGCTTTCGCGAAAAAGCATTAATAACGGTCTTAACTTTCTAGCGAGGCGATAATAAGAAGTTTAAGGTCCAATAAGGAAATGGTATCCGCATTGTTGACCGATTACAAGGCGCAAGACGGAAGCGCGGAAGAAAAATTGCCGAGCGCCCTACCGTTGGAAAATAAATATGAGAACAGATACGAGAGCAATGAGATTAAAAGGTATATAAAATACCGGTGTTTCTTCTCATCTCTTGAAAACTACCAAATTTTATATTAACATATTTTAATTTTAAATTTCTATTGATTTTAAATATAGAAAATAATGCGCGTGAATAATTTAAATTTAAAAATTATTTCCTTGCACGTTTTATATTTTAAATTTGGTTAACATAAATTATAAATAAAAGTGATAGAGTGATTAAGGTAAAAAATTATTTTTACTACTTATTGCATATTTTTGCTTTCAGACGATTTGACAATCCCTTCGACAACGTGGAGGAGGGTTTCACTTGTCCATCAACTGTCAAATATGCTCGCCCGCAATTAGCGAGAGCTGCTTCCGGAGTATGGAAATATATAATAAATACAGGTGAACACACCCAGACGATACGACTGGAGAAATGTTCGTAAGTATGACAACCAATACTTATTTTATTCAAAGAAGGGAGAGCAATTTATTTGGGCATTAATTATTAATTTACGTAATATCCCATTTGAACAGGCTAAATGAAGGCTATCTGATCAGAGAATATTAAGAATATATATTTTGTAAATCATTATCTTAAAATATAACCTGCAGTAAAGAATTATGAAACATTAATTACGAATTAAAGTTAATGTATACATATGATTTCTCTTTATGATGATATACTAAAGAAAAAGATACACAAAAAAGATATTTTATAATAATAAATTATTTTATTTTTAATGTATATTTTTCTATTTTTTAATAATATTAAATAACATTTTAATAACATTTAATGTTACTTTCATAGCAATCCACAGTCAAGTTGCTCGTTTATCTCCGAAAACTATCGTTCCTCCTGCGTGCAAGTCTACAACTATCACAGACTACTGACTTGGGATCAGAAACTGGGACTACACATGGACATATTCAAAGTTCCGACCTGCTGCAGCTGCCACGTGCACGGCTACGCCGAGATTTTCCCACCGCACCAGAAGGATCCCCCAACTAAGCCCAAGGAAACGTTTCCGGGCGCGGATTTCGCGACGATTAACGATCAGAAGGACGATTTTCAGGATCTCAACAAGCCCGTCGTCCTCAATCACATTGCCAAGTACACTCCCACCTTAAACTACGATTCCATCCACGGTACTTTACTTCAGAATTATTCGCCGTCACCCACACAACATTAAACGACCTCAGTGAATCAGTCTCGTTTCCTTCAGGGTCCAGCAACAAGAAGCCGGTGCTGGAGATCAGTCCAACGAGTAGGCCCAGCTTTACTAATACTAGAACTAGACCGAAGAAGCCCCCATCGATCCCGCGGCCATACGACAAATTGCCGCAACAGCACGCGCCCAACACGCGAGCACCGGGCTACAAAGGTCCATTGACCAAGAGCAGGCCTACCCGACTCAACAGGCCACCTTTCAGACGAGAATCCACCGCCCATGAAGATTACACGGAAACTTCCCGCAACAGCACGACCAACCGGTGAGTAACGTGCAACATTTTTATTTTCAATTTATCAATTCAGTATTTTCTCTAACATACCTTTTTACAAAATATTTTTTTAGAGAAATAATTGTCAGATTGTAATATCTAGGTTTTATGAGAAACGTCAATTTTTATTTTAGAATTTAAGGGTAATTTTTGAAGCCAAAATTTATCTTTAAAAAATTTAAATTAAAAAATTGTAAAATTTAAATTAATCTTATGGTTGAAAATTTATTAGAATTGTCTGGAGCTTAGAAATAATCTTTTAGATACAGTCAGCCGTACGACCAGGACGTGGATGCCACGTCGAAATTGCAGAACGGAGGCTTCGACGACGAATACCAGGAGCCGCAGAGGAGAATCAATTATAACTATCACCCAATCATAGACTTTTTCAAGCCGGAGGCTTCCATGCTGCAATCCGCGGAACCGCAACTTGCCACCCAGCCGGCACCGGTTCAAAGCGACAACGCGTGGAAGCCGATGATATCTTAGATCGTAGTGTTCTTTCTTCGGAGTACCTGACATCCTATTTTAATAAAGATTCCAAATCATATATTTCGTGAGATTCGCGTTTCGTACATTAATATTTACGACCGTGAGAGAGTATTATTTCCTAGAGGAATACCGCGTGTTCCGTGCGGTAACATGCTTATTGTTTACGTGCCTTTCTAAGGCTTTTTCGAGTCGAGTTCAAACAAAAGAGAAAAAGAAAGATCCGAAATTTAATTAAAATTATAAGTAAAGACTAGACTACATTTAATTTGACATTTAAAATATCTTACAAGACATTTTATATTGTCATAAGAATTTCAATAATTAGTTTTTCTTCATCACTTAATTATAAGTGACGCAAAGATATAGTAGGTGATAAATTTTTATTCGGATATCACTTAAAAAATTCTTTGTATAGTAAAAACGAGAAGACACATCCAGAATAGATGTTGGAATATTATGGCCAAAATGGGCAGATGCAATGATCGTTTCATTTTCTTTTTGGACTTTTGGACATGTTCGTCTTGATCTAATATTTATTAATCGTTACCTCTCCCTATAAATTATTTATAAATTATGCTTAAGGAGTTTACAATATATGATTATATTTTGTATCACCAATAAAGTATTCTTAGATTGTTCTATTTTAATCTTAACACCTATTTGTTTGACGTAGACTGATTCAATTGTGTATTTCGTAGCCGGAAAGAGAAAGTATTCGAAATTTTATTCGTGATACAAGCAATGCCAATCGCTATTAGCATGAAATGTACACGATCACAGTTTATTTGCCGTAACTTCGATCAATGATCTGTGAATGCAATTTCACATTTCATGTATCGGAAGTCCAAAACTTTTTCCTTTTTCCTGTACAGCACGCTGTCACGCCAGGGTGACTGAACATTCGATTTTTCACAGCAAATTGAGATTTTTATTTTGCGCAAAATCTAAAAAAGATTCTAATATGGTCCAACCGCATCTTCGTACAAATGGAGAAAGCTAAATTTCTCGCAGTGTGTTTTGTAAAGACTTCTCTACGAGGTGCGTACTAACAGAGTAGAAACAGGAAAGAATCAAATCTGTTTTATTGTTGTCATGGTTTGATTTCTATTAATCCATTCTAAAATTCACAGGAACGTGTTTGTCTAAGATTTTATAAATCTTTGATGTTATACATATATAAATTAAAACGCGCTGTCTATTTAAAAGTTTTCAACAAAGAGACGATATATGGCATAGAACATATATTATACTGTAAATGTCGGGAAAGTGTTTTAAAAGTAGATACTAAAACAGTCTTACTAAAATAGTTAAATGCAAACACACTTATTACGTACACTTTGTTCTTATGATAGAGCAACGTGCGTGAAATGACATTCTCGTTTTAAAACATTATATTACGCCATCGAGACTAAAAATTGATGATGAAATAATATCGTTTACTACAGTCGACTCGGTTTGCGCAATTGTAAAATCATTCGACTGATGCTCAGTTACAAATGAAAAAATTAGCATTTAACGCTAAGACATCTAAATATATGATTATAAAAAATTTCACTTGTTTTAATGTTAAAATAATAGTTGCATTTTAATAATTGTTTTAATATAACTTAATTATATTTCCGGACATAAAATACATAAAAAATGATTTTTTTATTAAGCTATATTCCGAATATAAAATAATTACAGATTAAATTAATTGTTGAATGTTATAAGAAAAGATATATATTTTAGTGTAAACAAAGTCTGATCCGGTAATTCGAGCTGTCTTTATTAACACAGGTTTGTAATGTTTTCATACAAACAAAGATCGTATCGGAATTACAAATACAAAGCGAAGAAAGTCCCGTAGCTCGAGCGACACGCTTCGCGGCCCAACGCGGAAAGACACGGCACACAATCGCCGTGCCGAGACGAGTGGAGCGCAGCCGGCGAAACGAACCGTTCACAGCTGACTGAATGAAGTAAATCGCGCTATGCTGTATGCTCGTCCTGTTGGATATTCTCATGGTACATCTTTATGCCTCGTGCTTTTCATGCGCCTCATCCTTCCACTTCGCGTTAATAGCGGCACACTTTGCTCGATTAACGACGCGCGCGCTCCTCTTCTCGCGCATCTTTTACGAGACGCTCGTGATTGCGCCGTAAAATTAAGGGTATGAGCGCATAGTAATTAGGATACTGGTGGAGTTATACGTCGGAGTTTCTAATACGCGAACCGGAGAAGAGAGGCGTCTGGGTGAAACGGCCTGGCGAACGAATCCAATCGAGAGTGACAGAATCGTTGAACGATCGGATCTGCACGCTTCGCGGAGCAGGGTCTCTAGTTGTTCCAACGTTTTTCACCCTACCTCGCCTTTCGCAGATGGCTGGAAAATATAAATTAGGCCATGCGGCCCGTAGCGCCGGTCAGTTTGATGAAAGACCTCGATCAAAGATGATTAGAAATCACGTCGACGGCTCGTGCGTAAAACGCGATTTTCTCTCCTTTGTCGCGACGAACGCAAATTGATAAGCGTCACCTGCCGTCCATAGAATCCGCGTTCTCCGCAAGCCGAGTAACGTAACAGTGTGTTTTCTTCCTCCGCTGTGAAGAGTCTGAACTGCAATTCGTTGTCATATTCGAGAAGCGAATTCGATATTCAGTGTCGTTCTATGTTCGATCTTAAACTGATACAATTCGTGTTTAATATAATACCTCTTTTCAAATATTATAATATAATTTTGTAATATATATTTCTAATATTTGAACTTTAATGCTAAATATTTTAATAATTATTCAACATAATAATTGTGATAAGATGCGCGTACTGAAAAGTGTACTTTAATGGCAACTGTTAATTACATATTGAACAATATTTTCTCATCTCGATAGTGCTATGAAGCGAAGAACAAGCCAGAGAAATGGAGCAACAACGAGAAGCCTATAATCTAATTATGATTTTTCTTTTGACGATCGCCAGCATCCATGGCGTGTCATCATCGAGTCAGAATCTCTACGCAATCACCACTACGATCGACATCGGCTCCGATGTTGACAATGTTACGGATCACTCCGGGTTGCAGCCCTTGAACACTACAACATCGATCTATCAAGATTCTACAACTTATTTACCAATTTCAACGAGTGTACAAGCGGAAGAAATACTCGATTCTTCGGAAACGAATTTTCTGAATCGATTCGCGCGGCCATCTTATCAGTATAACGAACACACGGAAGACAACGACTCAGAAGAGTCTCCAGACCATGTGATACCATATTCGGAACATGAAGAGGCTAGAGACGTGCCTACTCAACCAAAATACGTAGCTCCTGGAATCTGGGCGAAGCCGCCGCCTGAAAAAGGCATCCCTCTCGACTTCGTGCCGACGAAGCTGCACGCTCAAGTTCGAGGCAGCCACGTTGTGAAGAGATTGCCACAGCAACAGGCGATCGAAAGCGCGGAGACGGACGAAGAGAGGCGTAACGCGGCCAGATTGAAGGAGGTCGTTACCAATTCGAAGGTTAATACGGTCTACACCGAAGAGGGATACGAGGATTCGGCGTACGACCACGCGGGACACGTCAGGGACGCCGATTTTCACGAAGGATACGCACGCAAGCTTCACGATCGAAAGAAAAGCGGAGAAAATTCTTCAAGCGATAAGAAGAATGAAGGGAAAAACAAGAACTTAGTGCCTGATGAATTCGAGGAATATGAAGAAGACTATGAAGATCATTTGCAGGAAAATAGAAAGTTTGAGGGGACAGATGATAAAGATAATCTGATAGGACACGACAGGAATAGCTTGGAAGGATCTGAAATAGATCCCAAATTCGTCGCTGAGAATAATATCCAGAAACTGGAAGAGGACATAGAGAAAGATGCTGAAAAGGCCGAGAAAAGTTCGAAAATATATCAAAATGCACAAGAATCGAAACTTCGCAACGATATCAAGGTTGATAGCTCGGAATTAGAGGAATCTCAGGTTAAAGATAATTTAGAACACGAGAATAAAGCTGTCAAGACAAAGAAGAAAAAATCCAAGTTGCGAAATGGAAAAAATGATGATGTAAGCAAAAGAACAAAGCCGTCGAAACGCAAATTGAAACAAAAGAAGAAGCTCCAGCCTGAGAATTACGAGACGACCGTGCTTCCATTCGAAAAAGCAAGTTCAATTGATGTTGAAACGCCGGCAAGTCCCCACGGTTTTGTAACAAATTCTCCGTACTCGCAGATATACTCCATTGACGAGACGACCCTACGCTACGTCGCTCCGATTACAACAGCTTCGTTCCAACAAGACGAGCCGACGACACCTAGTTACAGTCAGCTCTTCTGGGATTACTTCAAGGCGAGGCAAGGTCCATCGATCACCGAGTCGTCCACGCTAGTATCGAACTCGACAACCATGAATCCGCAACAGGAAGCGCGAACGCCGATCGCAGTCGCGACCATTGACGGTCACGGCCCGTATCTTTTAGTGACGAAGGAGGAGACCGTGACGTCGCCCTCGACATTCCTCGATCCGCGCAGCTTCCGTTCGCGAAATTTGTTCTCCGATCCGGTTGAATTCGGTTCAACCTCCGCTCAAACGCACAGTCGTCATCTACTTGGACAAAGCGACGGTGTCGACTACGTCAACAACGTGATAACTACGTCCACAGTTGCAACGTTCACCAGCGTGCCATCGTTAAGACCTGAAGGCGTAGAATACTCATCTTCGACTACTCTTCTTGACGCTACTGTGTCCAGTAGCACTCCAGCTGTAATGACACTCAATTTCACTCAGGAAGCTTACGCGCGAATAACCGATTACCATGTAAACCCTTTCCTCGGCCCTGTTCTTGACAACAGCAACATTGCCGTTGCCAGAAATAAGCTCAAATATAAGGTTCTGGCTCCTGCAAAACCGTCTCGTGATAAGAAACCTGTTAAATCCGTCACTCAGTCACCTGATCAACAAATTCCATCATCTTCCAAAGAAGAAAAAGATAACAAGAAAATTCGCGATGGCCTGAACGCAAAGTACAATAAGATGCTGAGTTACATTAAGAATAAGCAAGAAACCCGGTCTTTCCCGAAGGAGAAAAAGATCTTTTTTCCAGAAGATCTTACCCCGAGAAGGCTGCCGGTTCAACGAGCCGCTTATTCGATCATTTTAACGGATCATCCTTCGGC